GGGACTGCGGTAGCTGTGGAAGCTTCACATCTGACTGTTGGTCAACACTGCCTAGTTTTTCTACATAGGGAGTACATGGAATTTCTCCTCCAGCAATGTATGGGCTTTTCTTCTGTCACATTTTCCATTTAAAAGGGTGTAGCATAGAGACAACTCAGTCATTAAGCTTTCCCTTCTAGAGTATGAAGTCCAGAATTACCCCAGACATATGTTGGGGCATCAATGTAAACTATGGAACACACATAGAAATTAGAGAAAATAAAGAGCAATTCTACTTTCTTTCTTTTTTTTTTTTCGAGACAGGGTTTCTCTGTAGCTTTGGTGCCTGTCCTGGAACTAGCTCTTGTAGACCAGGCTGGCCTCGAACTCCCAGAGATCTGCCTGCCTCTGCTGGCCAAGTGCTGGGATTAAAGGCGCTCGACACCACCGCCCGGCACAATTCTACTTTCTAACACTAGAAGAATATAGACAACATCTACTAAAATTGGGTGACTTGCATATTTTGGCCAATTGGAAACATACATGCATTCTTTTATGGCAGGGTTGGTACATGCACACGGAAGAACCAAGACTGTGGAATTCTTGGCCCATCTGTTGGCTCACCAGGCAAAGGTGCTTACAGCCCAGCCCAACGAGTTTGAGGCCTGGAAGCTACTTGGTGGAAGAAAAGAGCCAACTCCTGTAAATTGTCCTCTGATCTTGAACACACTACATCCCAGCACAATAAATATATACAATAAATTCTTGTTAAAGCTATGAATTTTTCTACTGCTTAAGGAAGCAGTCCCTCTTCTCCCGCTGTCCACACTGCTCAGGGCAGAGGTGACCATGTTCCCAGTTTCCCTAGAGCCTTTCCTTCGGGAACTCTGACCCTGAGGCGGTGTTTCACAATGTTCCTTCCATCCCTGCTCTTGCAGGGTGAGGTAAGTGTCCAGGTGGCCGCAGAAATGGGAAGAGTCTGGTCCTCCCAGTTGCTGAGATGAGCAGCCTCTCTTGCCACACAACCTCCACAAGAGGAAGCAGCAGATGAGATTAAGAAAAAAACAGGGGGAAAACGTGGCAGGAACCTTCAGTATTCCTTCCACACCAGGTGACAGGCGGGCTTGGAGTCCAGCCCTCTGAAGAATGTCAGAAAGCTCTGGAATTCATGGACTTCCCTGAGCTATGTGGTAGCAGGCCTCACTATGTTTACAGTGGAAAATCCCCGCCAGTCGTGTGGGAGCGTAATAGAGACACTGAGTTTGTATGTGCAGGGGCTCTGGATTGGGGTGTGTGATAGGAAACAGTCCTGCTGTTCCCACATGGATCAGGAGATGTCTCCTGGACTCAATTTTTAACAGATTATTTTATCACCATGAAATGGCATCTTTTAAAGTTTTTTAAATGCTTTTTTGTTGTTGTTAATGAACAGAAACAAAACTTTTCCTCAAAATATAACAGGACAGGGAAAAACTTTTCCCAATTTTCATTGGTTATCTTTGCCTTTAGATTTACTTTAATCCTGGGGAGGAGGGCTATGTATGTGAATGTCAGTGTCCAGCAGTGTTGAATCCTGGAGGCTGGAGTTGCACATGGTTTGAGCTTCCTGTCATTCGTGCTGGGATTTGAACTCAGGTCCTCTGGGGAAGCAAGTATCGCTCCTAACCAATGAACCATCTATGGCCTCAGCTCCCCAAGGGTTAAGGTTAGGGTTAGGGTTAGGTCCTTCTATGTACCATATAGTATGTGAAGGATTGCAATTCTGTAAAAATCCCTCGGCTCATTTGAGAGATAATCACTGGAAATGTAATTTTTCAAAAGCTTTCCTATTATGTCCAGAAGATGCCACGAACCAGAGTGTACTGATTTTTCTGTTACCCTGAATGCATGGATCCTTGAATTCCCATCAGCCGCCACAGTTCTCATGGCTATAGACCAACTGTCTAGACAGCTTGTGATCCTGCCATTCTGACATGAATCATCAGATGTTACCTGCCTCCACTGGAGGGTGGGGTTGAGACGGGGTGTCTCTGTAGTTTTGGAGCCCTCCTGGAACTAGCTCTTGTAGACCAGGCTGGCCTTGAGCTCACAGAGATCCACCTGCCTCTACCTCCCGAGTGTTGGGATTAAAGGTGTGCGCCACCACCGCCTGGCCACTTGCCTCCAATTTTAACAGATTATTTTTCTCGCCATCTATCTCTCCAGCTCCCCAACGGTGGCGTACATAGTTAACTTACTTCAGTGCATTAGGAATTTATTATGGTGGTACCCTGTCTGCATGCGCCACCATCTCATTCTATAGCTGCTTCTTACAAAAGGAAATTCCCCTGTGGATATTTGTGCCCACTCACAAGAAATGACTAAAGGACACTTCCTTTTACCAGTGGGCCTGCTTCTTCAAGCATCTTGACAATTCAAATCTCTGAGTTTCCCATTTTAGTAAGTTGCACGATGTTTTCATTTGCCCCAAGTCAGCTAAGCACCCGAAGAGAACACCTGTCTGTGCATGTCTGAGAAATTGATGAGTTCCACAAAACTCTAGCTATGTGCACATCTGATATCCTGGTATAATGACTCAGACTGTATCTTAGAAGCAACTGCAGAATTGGAAGGGAAACCTTACTGGCCAAGTTGTGTTCATGTTACCCCTATAAGAGCACAAAGTTGGGAGAAGGTCACCTTATGCTAAAAAAGAGAGAAATTTCCCACATCCTCTTTGCAGAAAATTGGGGAAGCATCAATGTTGGATAAAAGGGAAGCTTTACAGCATAGACCATCCCAGGGATATGCGCCTGGCAAACACAGAGCTCAAATCTCTTGGAGTCTGGAGGTGGTGTGGAGGTTTGAATAAGAATGGTCCCCATAGGCTCATGTATCTGAATGCTTAGTCTCCAAGGAGGGGCACTCTTTGAGAAGGCTTAGATGATGTGGTGTCCTTGTTGGAGTAGATGTGCCATCATTGAAGGAAGTGTGCCACTGGGGGTGGGCTTTGAATTTCAAAATCCCATGTCAGGCCCAGTGTCAGCCTCTCTCTCCCTGTGGATCAGGTAATAGAACTCTCAGCTACTTCTCCAACACCATGTCTGCCTGTGTGCCACCATGCTCCCTGCCGTGATGGTAACAGACCAACCTCAGAAACTATAAGCAAGGCACGTGAATGCTTTCTTTGATAAGAGTGGCCTTGCTCATGGTGTCTCTTCACAGCAATAGAACAGTGACCAAGACAGATGGTGTTTCATAAATTCCTGTGTGCTCAAGGTCTTTACAGTTTTAGTATACGCAGGTTTGTCCATGAAGAGGGCCAAAAGGGGACTACTGTCTTCTGAAGAGCACATTATTTTAGACAAGTAACTGGAATGGCCTCCTGCTTGCCCCAAATGTCACACAGTAGTCTCTTGTATTAATGACTGACATCTTGGAACAGATTCTAGTCAATGCACTTATGAGTATTCAACCAGCCCCAATTCTCCCTCTGTAGCTGCTAATGGGGCAGAGGAAATCCCTTACATGACAGTGGTAGTTTGAATGAGGATGGTCCCCGTAAGCTCCTATGGTTAATGTTTCAATGGTGAATAATTTAAGAAAGATTAGGATGTGTGGCCCTATTGGACGAGGCGTGTCACTGGGTGAGTTCTGATGTCTCAAAAGCCCTCTGCCTCCTGCCTGTGATCAGGATGTAAACTCTCAGTTTCTGCTACAGTGCCCTGCCAGGCTGCCTGCTGCCATGCTGCCCACAGTGATGGTACTGGACTAACCCTCTGACACTGAAAGTAAGCTCCCCATTTAATGCTTTGTTCTGTAAATTCTCTTCAGCACAGCGCCTCTTCCCAGGAACAGAACAGTAGCTCAGACAATGTCCTGTGGCTGTCAATGGACTTGGGGTTCCTGCCTCTTTTCTTCTGTGTTATCTCTTCTTGTAGGGCACAGGGGATAATTTCTCTTTCAATATCAAATTAGTGGCTCCAAAATGATGGTGAGGTAAAGGAAATACTTTGGAGATCTTCCTGCAATAGAGAAGGGGCCCCAATCTTGTTCTACATCGTAAGGGTGAATACATATTACATCTGAGCCATATGCAGAGCATATTCATTGAAAAGTACATGGCAAACACACCACAAACACCATGGAAGCGTACTTGGCAACCACACCACAAACACCAGGTTGCTCTTGGAAGTCCCCAGCAGGCATGGTGCAACACAATGGCAGTGACTGACCAGGATACAACTTGCCTGGGAGGCAGCGATCTGGGGACTGTACCACAGCCTCCTGGAGAGGGGATGGAAAGTCTAGGAAATCCATCCATCCCAGAGTCAGGGGATTCAAGGTGACCACCACATTCATATTCTCTACAGAGCACCACTCTGTATCCCTTGTGCACTGCCCACTTTACACTTAGGGAGGATGAAGTGAGTTGTGGAGCACTACAGTTGCTGCAGTCCATAAATGGAACTGCTCTATACGTGTGCCAGCTTTCCAAACACACTAAAAACGCATTGCTATTCCATAAAACTTCAGCCCTTTTAAAGAAAATAAATGTAGGCATGTAGTTTGAATGCCACCTCCTGGCCTTAGTGGGAACTACATCAGTGAGAGTCTTGGGCCCAGTGGAGTCTATATTTGGGTGGGAGGGAACATTGGCTGTGACCTGGACTTGAAGGGACCTTAGATAAGATAAGGCAGTGTTTTTTCACTTCATTATACTTTCCTGGCACATAAAACTGGACATCTTAGGTATATCAAATGTAAACCCGAGATTGGAGACCAATCCCAGTCTAAGGCTAACATAAAGCAGCCTCATTAGATAGAGATGGTGGAGCTCTGTGTGTAAACACACACACACACACACACACACACACACCACACACACACACACACACAGAGGCATGCACAGAGCATCAGAATAGATTACATTCGTCTTTACTACTCCAGAAACTCAATAAAATGACTACTTCTCCTGAAGTATGGAAGGTGTATAATCCTTTATCCAAAGCGCGATTGTGGGTTCGAGCTTGCCTGTGAGTGCGTGAGCAATTGTGTGTGTGTGTGTTTGTGTGTGTGCGCGCGCGTGAGGTCAGGGGACAGAAGACAGCCTCCGGTGCTGTAACTCAGGCGCCATCCCCCTGATGTTTTTCTTAGACAAGGTTTCCAACTGGCCTGGAACACGCAAGGCAGGATGGGTTAGCTCGTCAGCACACTCCAGGGATGGGCTCGCCTCCACCTTCACACATAAGCATGTCCCGCCACACCTGCTACTTTTCCTCCTGTAGTTTATCTTCATTTTCTGGATGATGCTCTCTGGGAATGACACTCAAGGCCTCATGCCCACAAGGCCAGCACTTTACTGATTTAGCTGTCTCCCCAGCCCTACTTTTACCACCCAAGCACAAGTATTTTCTCAGATTACACTTTAAAGTACTTTCCTTCCTGGATATGAAATTTCAAACACCACAGGAAAGCACATGTACTACCATAAGGAAATCTGTGTTTGTTGCTGGGCTTATTCCTACCCCTAAGGCACAGGGCTGTCTGCAGGGAAATCTCCTGAGAGTGAGCTGAGTAGAGTCCCAGCCGCCATTTTCTGTGCGCCTTGCTGTATGTGGTGGTGAGGAAGTCACTTCCCCATTTAGGGGATGGTAATCTTTAATGTGTCTGCCAGGGACACACAGGGCTCTGCCTAACATCCAGTGAAAAGAGGATGGTTTCCCATGACAGAACTAAGCTGAAACTTTCCCACAGTGAATGGAATGATAATAGTCCTGATATCTACTTTGTGTGTTTAGTGCAGAGTCTCAGAGCAGCCCAGCCCAGCCTGGGACTCTTCCCCTTCCTCCCTCAGCCTTCAGAGTGCTGCTGGTCTTCCCAGCTTAGCACACTGCCCCAGCTCAAGTATTCATTTTAATGTAAACACATTCTTAATGCTACTGTTTTCTTCTCGGCCCAGTAACATTTTCATTCCATTTCTACATGTATATGGTTGAATTCCCACGAAATAAGTAATTTTATCATTGATTTCCCTGCAGAAAATTATTTTATAATGATCCACATCTCTTGAAAAACCATGTACTCTAAGATTGTTTTTCTAAGAAATTTCACATTTTCTGAGATATTATTGGTTTTTGTTTGGTTTTCATTTTGAGGCAGGGCCTCTCTATGCTATTCAGGCTGTTCTGAAACTTCTTTGCAGTAATGATCCTGTAACCCCAGTGTTCAAATAGCTGGAAGTGCACGCATTTGCCACATAATGCGAATGAAAACTGTTCTCATTATTGCCTGGCATTTGAGCATTTTTCTTTAATGTTTCACAGCAATTATTTTAATTTGTAAATGATTTTAAGGCAAAGAATGTGCATAACTTAATAATAATTATGTTGTGTATATTTGTGTATGTATTTACACATTAATGCACGTGCCTACAAAGGTCAGGAGAGGTCATACCTTCCTGGAGCTGAGGTACGGTCCATCACGGATTTTGGAAATGGATGCTGGAAACAGACCTTGCGTCCTCAGCAAGAATAGAATGCACTCTTAACCACTGAACATCTCTCCAGCAAGACTGTAGACTGTTAAAGTCCATTAGCCATTATAATGTTCATATTTTAAATTCCACTGTGTTTTCCCCTTGGTTCAATGACCTGGAGCTGATTCTTCTTTTTTCTTGTTTAGATTTATTTTTACTTTTAATTATGTCTGTCTGTCTGTCTGTCTGTCTGTCTGTCTGTCGTATGCACATGATGGGCAGAGGCATTGACTCCTGATGGAGCTGGAGTTAAAGGCAGTTGTGAGCTATCTGCCATGGGTGCTGGGACCCATACTCTCATAAACAGTAATGACTCTCACATCTCTTTCCTCCTGCCTCTACGTCTTGAGTGCTGGTATTACAGGTGAGGGTGAACATGCCCAGAGGGTCAAAGAACACAGAGCAATTTCCATTCTAGGCAATCATTCTGCCTCGAGAGCTATGTCGCCAGTCCCCATACTGTGGCTTTTTAAATTCACCAGTGATTTCTTTTCATGGTATAGCATTCTCATTGAACAGCTACCAGAAAAATCAAGAATATAGCTGGGAATGTCCTGCACTGCCAGGGGAGCCATACCAGTGTCTAGGGACCACTTTTAAAAATCCCCACATGTGCTCCCACCACAGTTTTGAAGAGCTTCGGACAGGGCCACAGATGCTGGGCAGATCTAAGTGCTGCAGCATCCTCGAGTCCAGCCTCTGGCAAGGACATCCTGTTCCCGAGAGCAAGTCTCCTGAGAGCAAACCTACCTTACATGCCCAGCTTCCTCAAAGGTCAGCAACAAGGGACTGGAGGCTGCTGTTGTACTCTCTGTGGTTGTGTGTGCAGAACAATGACCCAGATCCTGCAGAAGAATCACAAAACAGGAAAAAGGTTGGTCAAAGAATCAGACACATCCTTAAGCTCAGTGCTGAAGACATAAAAAAAGAAAATTTGGAAATATAGCATAGTGTGTGGATATAGAAATGACGGAGAAAGAAGAACAGGATTTCCCTTGCACGGAGATGTGAGTGTGGGTGTCGTGATGTGGGGCTGTGCCTCCCTAGGAGTATGGGGACAATGATGAAGGGATCCCAGACATATCTGAGAAGCCGGATTCTGTGTTTGGATATCTGTACAGCAGTGGTTCTCAGCCTTCCTAATGCTGTGACATGACTCTTAATACAGTCCCTCATGTGTGGTGATCCCAACCAGAAAATTATTTCTGTTGCTACTTCATCGCTGTAAAGTTGTTAGAGGTAAGAATCACAATGGAAATAGTTTGGGGGATAGACGTTTGGGGGGGGGGATAGATAGTTTGGGGGATAGAGGTCACAAGTCACAGGCTGAGAACCACTGTTCTAGAGTCAGAGAGATGTGGAACCTTCCTAGGCCCAGCAACTTTGCTTCCCTGAGCCTGGATGTGCTGGACCCATTTTCCAAACACAGGCTGGGCATATCTGTGAGGACGAAACAGAGTGAGCTGTGATCTCTGAGCTGTGCTTACCACTCTGAATTGAGAGCATTAGAATGCTCACTCATTGATTTTATGGGCCTTTAGTTACAACATCTGCTCTAAATGCCAGTCAGAAGTTCCTGCATATGTGACAGACTAATGTTGATGTATGCAATTGGAATTACAGGCTGGCCTTGCACTCAGACATCATACTGCTCTGTCTCGTGAGTCCTGGGATTAAATGTGTGTGCCACGCCCACCTGTCAAAAATACGCATTTCTAAAGGCAGTAGTCTCCTGGAGAAAGAATAGGGACAAGCAGGAGCTGCAGCACCTAGAGACTGATTTCACTTTGACTCTGCCTAAAGCCTACTCGCTTCATCCGTAAAACTGCCAAGAGCAGTACATGCTGTAGAACAACCACTTTCAAAAATACTTTAAACGTTAGGTTTGCTTTTCGTTAGACAAATGTTAGATTCTTATTCTTTTGGAAATTCTTCTACAGTTAGTTTTACTTAGAAAAGTTTACATCTGAAAATTATTCATCAGCTGACACGTTGTTAAATTACTAAGTTTTACAACAACTAGTTTGGGTATTCAAACTACCCTGTGTCAAATACACGTGGAACAACTGATGTCAGTAAACGGAAGCACTGTGTCTCCAAGTGGTCAGACAAATCCAGAGATGTTAGAGCAACGTCTCCACAAGGAAAATGCACAGCGCATACAGGTGCTATCTGCCTTCTCCCAGACAAGGCTGCACAGGGCAGCTCTAACGCTGATCACTGCAGCATGGCTTCATCCCTCTTTCAATCCACTTCCATCCCTCCCCTGTCTTCTGAACCATCTCCACTGTCTCCACACACTCCCTCATCCCGCCCTCCCCAGGCCTTTCTCTGTGCAGTGCCAAGTCACCTTCCACCAAAAGGAATCAAATCATGTCAATTCCATAACTCACCTTCCACACTGATCATATAATCCAAATGTCATAGTCAGCTGAAAACGACACACATCTTCCTTTCTACCCTATCCCCAAGCAGTGTCCACATTGTCTTCAAGGCTCTGGCCACTGGCCTTGTCCCCTGCTCTTAGATCCACTGTTCTCCATGGGGGCAAGCACGCCAAGAACATGGCTTATGCATGGCCTTGCTTCTTTTTGTCATTCAGGACTCAGATCACATGCTAACTTCTGAAAACTTTAGGGGGTAACATCACGTACCACAATCTCCATCACAACTATTTCCTGTCCCCTTTATGATCTTTAAAGCGCCAATAATACACGGAATTGCTCTGATTACTGATTTCTTCTGCTTACTGACAGTTTGCCTATCTAACACAAAATACAGGAACCCGTGCTAGTCTTCACAGTGCAGGAACAAGGTGCTCACAAAAGAGGCCAGTATGTGAATATCTGGATAAATATATATGAAGGAATTGATGCGTATTTGACATGCCATGTAACACACTGGTATTTACGGGAGTAGCAAGAGAACACGGTATGGAATTAAGCAGTCTGTGACTCCATATCCTAGAAGACAGAATAACAAACACAGTAGCAATACTTTTTAACGTGGACAGCCATCAGAAAGAAGTGGCTATGCCACACCACACTTCACAGGGTTTGATTCGGTGTCTAGTGTGGACCCAGATTTCTACCATTTTAATAAGCACTCCCTGCAAATGTGATGCAGAAATGCATGACCCATTCAGGAAATGGTCTGAAGGGATGGCTTCCATTTCAGTCCTGGTCATTTAAAGGAACCCATGCAGACTTCTGTCATCTGGGGAGTCTATGAATGCCATTGTTCCACAGTGTGCTGCTCTTGCTGCTACCCTGCTGCAACAGGATGTGTTCCTACAAGGCATCACAGATCCGCTGCAGGTCACATGGATGGGAAGAGAAAAGGAAATGACTCACCTGGTGAGTCCCACATGATCTTGTCACTCTTGCTCAGGTAACAGGCTGACAAGACCACACCACACTTGGTTCTTCTCCAGGAGCTGGTTTTGCATGGAGAGTTCACTGTTTTCTCCCCTGTTCTACTAGAAGGCAGAGTAAGGGGAGAGAAATCTCATGGGGAGGGGAAGAAGGCGATGAGAACGCTCATGCACTCTACTGTACTGAATATAGGGATGGAGTAGTCTGTCTGCATCCAGTCAAGTCAAAGATGTGCAGTGACATCTTCCTCTTCTTTGTTCATCTCACAGACCCTTCCTATACACACCCATGTACACATCACACACACACACACACACACACACACACACACACACACACACACACACACTGGTGGCACTGATGACTCACATACTGGAAACAAGGGCTCATGTCAGCTTCTTGTCAACCTTCTGCGTGTTCTCTCTGCCTTCCTGTTGTTCTTATCATAGAAGAGACCTGATATTGACAGAAAGAGGAGACAAAGTGTCACTGACAGCTAGCATTTGGTGATTACTGTCTTCTGGGGGTGGTCAGATAATCCAGAATTCTAGACAGATAACAAGTGAAGAGCAGGTCCACTTGAATGTGTGTCCTTGCACGGGCATGTTATGGGATAATTTAAGCATCACAGTATATAATGATGACAAAGTGGTACTCCTTTAAAAAATGGGTGTTTCTGAGTGGACACAAACGCATGAGTAAATCCATTAATAAACAAAAGATAAAAGGGAAACTTTACTCAAAGACAAGCAATGCTTGTATACTAGTAACTGCACAGGGAAGTAGGTATCAGAGCAACACTTAGCAGGCGTCATGGTAATAATCCATATGGCAAGACCCATCCATAAAACACCCCCTCTGTAAACAGTCTACAGCAGACACTGCTAAAATCTGCATGACTGGATGGGAAAACAAGAGGGAAAACACACGAGTACTAACCTTGACCCTTTTGTGTTGGCAAAAATATTATTAGATATTTTGAAAAAAGTTACCTAATTATTCTACATAATACAAATCTTTCTGGAGTTACACATACATACCTAACTCTTCACATGTATCCCCTTCTTTCTCTCCACTGTGATCTCAACACCTACCTGATGGAGCTGGCTGGGAGGTGAAGGAGTATCTCTATGATTCCAAAGATTCCATTTGGGCAAACATTAGACCTGTGGCTGCCTTAGAAAATTTCCCCCAAACTGGGTGTTGGACATTTGTTTCTTTTCTCATAATTAACTTGCAACTTCAAAATACTGAAATTGAAACATAAGCAAATATATGTTTTCAAAGACATTTTCATCATAGAGAAAGAAACCTGACATTTCAACCTAAAAGAGAGCTTTTGTTAAAATCTACCCACAGACATTTGACCACAGTGAAATGTGTGGAAGCTGTAATTTAAAATCCCTGTCACTGGAGATAGCATCAGGAAATATGAAATAATTAGAAAAACTCTGCCCGCTTCTCTGTTGTGCCTAGACACTGAATGGGACAAATCATTGCTGAGAGTAAAGATGTATAGATTCGTCGACTGTGGTGATATTTTGTTTGTCCTATGACAATAAAGCTTGCCTGAGAATCAGTGTGTGCAGATAGCCACTAGTTAGCCAGAGAGGACAGGCAGTGTTGGAACTCACCTTTCCCAACACTCAGGAGGTACAGGCAAATGGATCTCTGCGAGTTCAAGGCCACCCTGGGATACACTAGATTGATCCAGTCTAAAACAGAAAGAGAGTCAGGCACTGGTGGCTCACACTTTTCTTCCCAGGGTTTGTTGAAGAGAGGAATATAAGGTGGGAGGAGATAGGAGATCCAGGCATTCAGTCTGAGGTCTTGTAGAGACAGGATGCTCCATTTGGTCTGAGGATTTCATAGAGGAAAGAACTGGAAGCTGGCTGCTTTGCTGTTCTGATCTTATAGATTCAACCTCGTAATATCTGACTCCAGATTTTATTATTAAGACCAATTAGAATTCACTCTGCAATCACCTTCATGCAATGGAAGATACAGGTGTCTGTTCTCCTCAAAAAGACCTATAGATCCAGTGCAATACCAACAGAAATCTAACAGACTTTTCATAAACTAATGGGCTTATCCTGAAACTCATAGTGAATATGAAAAACCAGAGCATGAAAACACCTTCAAAAGGAAAAATCTTGGAGGATGAACACATGACTTCCAGACTCCTTATAAACCTAGAGAAATGAAGACAGCGTGCCTGATTGGTAATGACAATAAGACAGAAAAGAATATGAAGGGGACAGAAGAGTCACACACGTGTGAGGGGACACCTTTAGCAAAGACACAAAGACACTTCAATGAAGCAGGAATATGCTGGTCACCGAGGTTTTTTGGGACTCCCTGTAGTGGTAGGGAGGAGCAGCCCAGTATCGTGACCTTCAGCCTGAGGATCACCCTGTCCTTTGATGACCTTGACCCTGGTAAACTGGGTCTAGGCTGCAGAAAAAACTTTCAGAAAAAGCCAGGATGAAGCAAAGGTTGTGAGCTTATTAATCCTGTGGATAGAAGCTCACACAGAATAAGGATGGCTCATGCATGACGGCCTGAGTGAGGACTAGAGAGAGACACTTGAGATTAGGTGTCAGTACAAAGGGTGTGTGAGGAGGGCAGAAGAGTGAGAAATGTGAAGATTTTTATGGCTCTCAGAGTTACATTGTTTTAAAATTACATGTAAGAATACTTTGAGTCTTTAAATAGGTTCTGTTTTCCCATTAGGAAAAATATACAATATGTTATTAAAAAGTCAAAAATAAAAAAATAATCTTTTGAAATGTTCTTATCGCTTTTAAAATTTCTTTTAGTAAATTAAATTTAAGGTTAATATGTGATTTTACAAGTATTCTTGTCCTAAGTAAGCACAATTAATTAATTTATTTATATTTGTTGAATGTTTTTCCATAGGGAAGTTTGTGCACCACATGAGTGAGTACCTACTGCTCACAGAGGGAACCAGAGTTTGAGATGTCTTGGAACTGGAGTTACAAACAGTGTCAACCATTGGGTAGGTGCTGGGTATCAACTCTGGATCCTCTGGAAGACATTCAGAAATATAAAAGAATGAACCCTATCTTCAGACCCCAGTTTGTTTGTTTTTATTTTTAAACTTACTTTGAGATGTTTTTAGGAATAGTTGCATCATATCTGCAGGTAATTTTGGCTCTATCAGTTGGGCTGAGGCTTCTTGAATGTCCTAAAAATGTAAAAATGATCACAGGATGAGGGGCTATGTATTCCCTCTCATATCCCCTTCAATGCCCTGTCTTCTGTCTTATTTTGGGACAAGCAGACATCCCCATGCACAAATATAAATATAGACAAGTTGTTTATCTCAGGATACAAAAGTCAACCCAAAACAAACAAAGGATCTACACAGGACTAGAGACATCTCCGAGGTTAAGAGTGCCTTTGGCTATTGCAGATGACCTGACTTCAGTTTCCAGCACCCATATGGTGGCCGACAGATGCCTATAACTCCAGAGCCAGGGGAACTGACAGTCTTTTCTAGTCTCTGTGGACATCGGCACTCAAATGCGCATATCGTACACACAGACATACAGGCAGACACTCAGTACATAGTGAAAAGAAATCTAAAAGATAATTGATCAAGAATACAACCTAGAGCCTGGAGAGATGGCTCAGTGGTCAAGAGCTCTTCCAAAGGTCCTGAGTTCAATTCCCGGCAACCACATGGTGGCTCACAACCATCTGTAAAGAGGTCTGGTGCCCTCTTCTGGCCTGCAGACATGCACACAGAATATTGTATACATAATAAATAAATATTTTTTTGAAAAGAATACAACCTAAACATGAATCGTGTAGGAGAAAACGAATGAATTACAGACTAACTTCTTAGATATAACAAACCTCCTTTCATTAAATGAACAACTGGATTGTTAAGAACTCCATAAAGTGAGAAAATGTCCACTCTTCCAAATATATGTTAGTAACATATTTTTCCTGCCTGGGAAAATGAATGTGGGAACTTGTGTATCAGGTGACAGTCTTACTGTTTCCAGATTTCCCAAACCTCAAAAAGAGCCAGTAAGAAAATAGACATTTCAGAAAATAAAAGTTGGCCAGAAGGGTGAGTAGATGCTCCACTAAGAGAAACATACAGCCGCAACATGCTTAACACTTAGGGAAGAGAGACAGGTGACTCTGAGGGGACTCTTGACACACCCATAAAATACTCAGAAATAAAGACTTGTCATACAAAGACCTGGCAGGTTGTGGAGGATGAAACTCTCATACCCACTGCTGGTGGCCATGGAAAACAGGACAGAGACTTGGAAAAGTATTTCCCAATTTCTTGATATGTTAATTGTCATCTGACCATCACATTCCCAAATATATAACCTGGAGGAAGAGGACATATTTTCTTTTAATGACTTATTTATTTCAGTTCACACCAGCTTTATATAAAAGACACTGAAATTGAAAACAACCTAAACAACAGGCTACAGGTAAATGACTCATTTCCCAAGACTGTCATGGCAGCTCCCAACTGTAACTCCAGTGCCAAGGGATCCAATACCCTCTCTTTGCATCCATGGGCACCAGGCATGCATGTGCTCTTCATACCTATATGTAGGCAAACATATATACATATAAAATAAAAATAAATTATAAAATTTTCTGTGTAGCTATACATTGCTACACCATTTAATATTAAGAATGAACAATTATCATAGGCAACAAAATAGATAAATTTAAACATATATTCAAGATGAATGAAGGCCAGATGTCTCTAAACTCTGGTTCTATTCTAATACATTCCAGCATATATATTAATTTGTCTATAATATCAGATTGTTTTTTTTTTTTGAGACAGGGTTTCTCTGTGGTTTTGGAGCCTGTCCTGGAACCAGCTCTGTAGACCAGGCTGGTCTCGAACTCACAGAGATCCGCCTGCCTCTGCCTCCCGAGTGCTGGTATAATATCAGATTGTTGTAATTTCCTGCAGACAGGGTAGGGCAGTGGTTGGGAGTGAAAACCTAACTAACATAGAAATGAAACTTTATGGATTGGTAAATAATAATGAAACTTTTACCTACCTGAGTATAAGAAGATGTCTATTGTCATTATGGGGAAAAGTAGAAAAATAGTAATTACGTTTAATATTTGATGACTTGGACTGCAGAGATGGCCCCATGGTTAAGAGGACTTGCTGCTCTTACAGAAGACCCGGACTGGGTTCTCAGCACTCACTTGCTGGCCCACAATGGACTGCATATCTGTTTCTAGGGGAGCAACACCCGTTTCTGTCCAAAGCAGCACACCCTAATCCTGAAACCAGAGCAAAAGAAACATACACTGACCCTGAGACTAGAATCAGTTCACTGGCCCTGAAACCAGAGTCCAACGTTTAAAAAAGGCCAGTGAAATAAACACATTTGCCCCTGAAACCAAAGCTACAGAAACACACTCTTCCACTTACCAATTCGGCAAAACAAACTAACCAATATCTCAGCATTAAACCAACCAATCCCAGAGCAGGAAAACCAGCAGATCATTGAGCATGAAACCACCCTGTACCTGTTCAGTTGGGAGCTGCCTTTCCCACTTTTGCAGGGTCAGCCACCTCCTGGACTCTTCCCTCCCAGTGAATCTCTTGAATGAGGCTTGGGTGAGACCTTCTTTGCCTAAGAAGAACAGAGAAGCAATGACTTCAACTGGAGACGAGTGGAGGAGAGGGGAGCAGAACTGGAAAAGCTTCTCCTAGCAGAGTAGAGTTGTTACTCTTCTGAGGATCTGAGCAGAGCTGTAACAACTTGGCTAGGGAAACCCTCCCCTACCAGAGCAGAGCTGTTAATTTGGGAAAAGCTTTCCCTGAAGCAGGGCTGTGAGCTTCTAAGTTTAAGGTGAATTTGTGGTATTCCTTGGCTCCTGACTGCCAGGATCCCTTTCCATCTGAGCAGCAATGTTTACAACATATACACACAATTTTTAAAACATTGCAGTCATTGGGTGCCGGGAAGATATCCCCAGGCTGCCTGACACCATTCTGTTCAGGCAGGTGCCACACACCCACAGGCAAGCCTGCATTGTCAAAGCCTGGGCTGGGGAAGACATTCACAGGTCGACCCGCTACTTCCAGGAAGCCATTATGGTGAGCAAAATGTGTGGTGGAGAAATGGGAGAGAAAGAGCAACAGAACTAGCTATGATAAACGGTGCACTGAAGGATGTGAAGGCAGTGAGGAACAGACTGAGGAACAACCTAAATACCTTCAAGCTCAGGAACATGGATTCAAAACAAACTTCTTACCCAGACCCAGAAAAACAAATGTAATATGTACTCTCTCATGAGTGACTTTTGGATAAAAAGCAAAGAAAAACCAGCCTACTTTCCACAACCCCAGACAACCTAGACAAGAAAGAGAGACATTGCTGGTCTACATAGGAAGGAGAAAAAGACAAGAATTCCTGAGAAAACTGGCCATGGGGGGGGGGGGGGTCAAAGGAGAGGAGGAAGGGGGAGAGTATAGGAAGGTAGGAAAGCAGAGCTAAATGTATAGCTCAATAAAAGCAATAAAAACCAAACTTCTTAGATATAACAAACCTCTTTTTATAAGTTGAGAAGCTTGTTGTTAGGACGTCCATCAAGTGTTAGCTGTATGCTCTTCCACGTAATGGTTGATAAATGAAGACAATGCCCTGATGGGGAATACAAGTTTGAAAACCATGCACCAGATTAAGGAATCCTTGTATCTAGGATACAGAACATCTCACAGACATCATTAAGGTAAGTGCTACCTATGGCTTTTCATGTAATAGAATAGAGATGATTCTAAGTGACCAAGAGTATTGATTTCATAATAAATGTAAATGTATATGAATACATCAAGCAAAGAAAAATACTCTTCAGGTTACCTGTTAAGATAAAATCTTAACACCAAAACATGGACGCCTGGTAGTCCAATGACCCGCGGACAAAAGGGGGGTCTTGGGGGGCAGGGCGGGGACAAGTAGAACACAGGACACCATGCCAACAAGCTGAAGGTGCACGTGCTCCCTTTCGGGGGTCCTTGAGGCCTGCCCGGTTGGCAGACACTCACCTCTCTGGGTGGGTAGCCTTAATGTAGGAGCAGAAAACTGTTCCTGAGCAAAGAACCTTTCAGAAAACGCAGGCTTTGGGGGGAGGCCGTGTGTAAGAAAGACAGCCCTGCAGAAGGAGCTGGGGGAGGGGGGTTTGTGCTCTTTTCCTGGACAATCTGCCCCTGGATAGCACACACTCACCCGTCCAGATGGAACTCCTCAGCACATAAACAGGGTCGCCTGGTAGCCCAATGATCCTAGACCAGGATGGAGGGGGGAGGACTTTGGACTTTCCACAGGGCAGGGAACACTGACTGCTCTTCAGACTGGAGAGGGAGGGGGAGAGGAGTGGGTGGAGGGGGAGAGGAGTGGGAGGAGGTAGAGGGAAATGGGAGGCAGGGAGGAGGCAGAAATTTTTTTCAATAAAAAATAAAAAATAAAATAAAACATAATTGACAGAAAAAAAGATAAAATCTTAAAATACTGACTTTTAAGCACATATCCCTTAAATGTTACACTGAACACTTAGAAATGAACAAAAAATAATAGCCAATTACAAATAAAAGGTAACCTGAGATAAAAATTCTGATATTTGAGAAATGCTTAAAAGAATATGCAATTAAGAGATATTTTTGAAACCCACAATAATTCTATGGGCTCAACTTTAGTGGCAAAATGTTACTTTTTCAAGAAATATACCAATAATGTGGCATTTTTTTGAGGAATGTGATGGCTAATCTTGGTTGTCACTAAGACTACATCTGAAATCAACTAAAACTCAAGTATCTGGACTCTCCTGTGAGAGATTTTCTTGATTGGATCATGTGAGGTGAGAATATTCACCCTAATCATCATCTCTGTTGGGAGTCCACATCAAAGGACGTGGAAGAGGAAAGCTTTTATTTTTGCTTGCTCTCATTCTTATCAGCAATGTCATCTACCCTGCTTCTGAGGCATCCCTTTGTTGGAGTTAGAACCTACATTTTTGGGACTCCAATAGTGACTGAAGAAAAGTAGCAGGTCCCTAAGAATCCTCTAGATCTCCAGTGCCAAACTGGGACTGCTGAGACATCCAGTCTTGTTGACTGAACAACTACCATTTATGGCTTTTCTGCCAGACAGAGCCATTGTTGGTTTTGGGAGGCACATTCTACCAATTATATTCCTTTAGATCAGTGGTTCTCAACCTTTGAGTTTGACCCCTTTCACAGGGATCAGATAAGACTATAAATAAACACAGATATTTACATTGTGGTCCATAAAAATAGCAAAATTACAGTTATGAGTAGCAATTAAATAATTTTGTAGTCGTAGGTCACCACAATATGACAAACCGGATTAAAGGATCACAACATTGGGAAGACTGAGAACCACTGCTTTAGTGAGATCTGAGTAATGCAATGGATAAGGAAAAGCTCAGGAACAATAGTAGATTGGAACACACTGTTTTCGATGCAACAATAATCATATGGGAAATAATACATTGAAAAGATTTATGAAAGCTAATTTTCCTGTAGCTCTATGGACTTCTGAAACTTGATAGAAGACAACCTACCCACTCTCCAGATGAATATGGAACATTCGCCAACACTAACTCCACATGAGACTGTTAAATTTGTACACAAACGCATGTATGGATTAAAATGTTGCAATTTGCAGGTAGTTCAATTGGTAAAAGAAAGGCACATATACTTATGCCTGCCTGCTGAGTTCATTTCCCAAGACCCATGAGGTGGAAGGACAGAACCAATCATCACAAACTGGTTTTGGGAGGCACATATGTATCTAGGCACTGATGCACTGAAAGGCCTCTTTCACAGCAATAGAAACCACGGCTTAGCAGAAAAGACAAAAATATTCCAAGAATGGTGACCTCTATGCATCCATTAATGTAGGAGAAGACCCAAGTTTTCCAGAAGGTCTGTAAAACAATGCAGACTAAGTAAGGATAAAAGACCCAAGTTTTCTCTCAGATATCGAATCTAGAGTTGAATTCGTTTGTGAGTGTGGCTGTGTGTGGTCATGCTTGCAGGTCATAAAACTAGAAAACAGACCATGAGGAGACGAACAGGAGCTTAAAAGAGGAAGGAAAAGAGAGGGCAGTGAAATATGTGGGCCATGAAAACAGAAGATGCAACAACTTGTAGATGAAAGCACAAAGGAAAAAATCTATTTCTAAAACAATGTTGAGTAAACCAGGAAGCATATGAACCCAAGATACATGAAATGATTGATATAGTCAAACTTCAGAAAAGAAAAAAGAAAAAACCTTGAGATCATGTTGAAGGAATTCTGTTTCTGGTAGACAAAAAGAGAGCCACGTAATTATAATGAGGCATGCAATCCAAGGGATAAAGCACACTATTTATTATAGTGCTGAATAAAAGCAATTATCAAACCTGAATCTCTATGTCTATATAAATTATTCTGCTGGATTATCTTGGGGATAAAAAACCATCATCAAAAGTAAACGTAATTGTTTATCAATATGAGACATGCTGCTAAAAAGGGCTAAAGGAAGTTTCTAAAACAAACAAATCTTAGAGGAATCAGAAATATCTGGAAGAAAGAAGAAGAATATCAATGCAGAATATGATTAAAATATATACGTTTCCTTTTCCTTTTAATATCTCTCAGTTCTGTGTGATGTTTGAAGCAAAAAGTATAAGTGATGTGATGTGGTCCTCTATAGACACAGAGTAAATGTATTGTAGATTCTGTTCTTACAATGGTGATTGTGAAGGAACTATAATTGCAGTAACATCAAATAGGGTTAGACTTGAAGGCAATCACGATATCTGAGTAGCACTAACACCGACCAGAGAGATCTGGGATAGCTGATGTAACATACTCACTTCACAGTGCCTTGATCCTTCCATCCAACTGAGATGACAAGGCATTTAGGCACATGGGATCACATTTAACCTCAAAGAGCTGCTAATGAACAGAACATGAGGTATTGTTATCATATTGAATGGTTAAGGATGGGTAAGGGAACTAACTCACCCTTAATGTCCCAACGTTCTGCTCAGTCTGGCAGACATCACAGCACACTGGGTTCTTCCTTAAAACTCCTGCTTCTGGGTTGCAAAGATTAAACCCTTTACTTTACACTAGAAGGTAGCAGAAGGGAAAAGAAAACTCATGAAGTAGAGGAAACCAGGATGAGGAAGCACATAAATCCCAGGGGATGGAATGATGGTGCCTTGTCTGTGCAGACG